TATGCACATGTCTGCTATGCTCTTGTATATATTATTTTGTAATATATGTTAACATCAAAAGGTTCAATCAATTAATTGGTATGTGGTTATGAAGAAATCACGTACATGAAATGGTAACGGTCAAGTTTGACATCCCTATCAATTGAATTGTATCAGTCCAAGCATTGCATGAAATGGTCAATTCATCACATGTCTATACTGATTTCAAATCAAGAATGTCCACATCATCACTTGAAGTTAAGCTTACATATACCATCTTAAGTACTAAAGCTCCATTAAGGTCATAATATAGATTACAAACATATATAACGCCATATGATGTTTTTTTGCTGACATGCCGTTCTCTGTATCCATATATATGATCCCCAACAAGCTAGGACACATTTGATTCAACAATTTAGAAATTTTTCATTAGTTTTGAAACAATAATAATAATATTAACTATAGCTTATATTTGTTTAACATAAATGAAAAAGATTGTCATTAATATCTAGTGTATTAAACAAATATTTGGAGGAGTTTGTAAAAGGGGGCTTAAGAAGTGTGGGAAATTCATGGAAATAAGCGATCCATGTATCTAAACAATGAATAGTCTTTAGGTCTCCTAATATATATAGTCCTTTTTCTTTTTAATTTCCTTTTTGATGATGGTTAGCTCTATTTTACCCCAACTTGTTTGGGAGACAAAGGTTTCATTGTTGTGTTTTTACCCTTGTTGATTAAGATAGCAAATATTTCCATTTTAAAGATTGGCGTGAATGCTTTATTTGGCTTGCTTGCACAACATAGATATTCAGCCTCTATTGATATAGAAAAACTCATCTAATAGTAACATTTATGTTTTATAGCTTGTAAATGAGTCATCATATCTATCTGAAGAGATATGCTTCTGTATAGGAAAATTTTGAATTTCCTTATTATAAATTAAAGGAAAGAAAAGGTCACCATAGGAATAATATCTGTACTTTTCATGTAGTTCCTAAATCTTGTAATATTTTCTTCGTTTTCTCCACAAATTTCTTGTACAAGAAAGCCAGCCCTATACATGCAGATATGGAGAATGATGATGCGTGCATCTACAATCCACTCTTGCAATGCCTCTTCCATCACATGCAAAAACATGGACATGCATGTTTTTTTGAAAAAAAGTCCACTTTACGTCCTAGGCTCCTAGTCGTTCCTTTTTTGTGCATTGAAATGAGATCAAATCATACCTAATGAAACATGTCTTCTTCTCTTGTTGTAGAACTTGTGTTTCGACTGAAATTAATTTGTGAGGTTGATAGTTGTCATACCCCATGTTACAAAAAATAAGAAATTTTGCAAATTTTTTTTGTCAGTTCGAAGTATTTTATGTTACTTTAATCCTGATATATAAATACACATGAAAATAACAATAAAAACCATATACATAAGTTTCTAACATAGCCTATGGTCTCGTATATATGTCGTCCAAGGAATTTGAACCTCGAAACACACCTGTAAGAGGAAAAATCGAAAGCGACAATCGATTTCATTAGAGGGTGAAACAAATGTGAATAGTTTGGAAGTAAATTGAGTAAATATTTTGTACAATGTCCAAATGGATAAAATGAATTGTTCGAGTAGTTCGATAGACTTTTATTATTTTTTCTTGTGTGTGTATATATAGAATGAATATCCTTCCAATATATTCTATCACACTGATTGTGTAGTACACACAAATCCCATGTCGTTAATGCATGTTATCATATTACCTTAACCTCATAATCCCAAACAATTTCTCTCTCTATATACCCCCACTGATTCATGTCCATACAACCAGATCAAAGAAACTATCACTTCTCATCATGGCAACTATCAATGACCATTGCTGGCCAGAACCCATTGTACCTGTACAAACCCTTTCAAACTCTGGTGTGCGCACTGTGCCACAACAATACATCAAACCTCCATCTGAGCGTCCTTGTGGTAGCATAACTAGCATGAATTCTCCTGATCTTAGCATCCCTATCATTGATCTTGCATGCTTCTATGATATCTCTGAGCATCGCCAAGCGGTGCTAGAAGCAATCGGTGAAGCATGCAAGAACTGGGGATTCTTCCAAGTAGTGAATCATGGTGTGGGCATCGATTCAGTAAAGAGGATGAGAGAGGCATGGAGGGTGTTCTTTGACCTGCCTATGGAAGAGAAAAAATTATATGCAAACTCACCGGCGACATATGAGGGCTATGGGAGTCGCCTTGGAGTTGAGAAAGGTGCAACCTTGGATTGGAGTGACTATTACTTCCTAAACCTCCTGCCAAATGATATGAAGAACCTTGAGAAGTGGCCAGAGATGCCTCATCACCTGAGGTAATACGTGAATGAGACGATCTGATATCTAGCTTAATTTAACTTTCTCTTCTGCAATTTATTTATTATGCATGGTGTCTACCATATCATTTGTTATGTTAACTGTGTGATCCAACTTAGAATTCAGATGTCTTTTGTTTCTTTTTCTTATTACCAGATGTATCGGTGTGCAATAATTCAACTTGATCAAAGCCAAGTAGCTTGAAATACAAAATTAAAAAACTAACTTCTATACGATTACGACGTGCGAGATGAGTGAAAGCCCTTACATATATATGAATCGTGAATGAAAGCTCATACATATGTCAAGAAACTTATGTCTCTTTGTATGTATGTGCAGGGAGGTGACTGAGAAGTATGCATCCGAGCTAATGAATCTGAGTGAAGTACTGCTCAAGGCCATGTCAAGCACCTTAGGATTAGATGAGGACTACCTTCACACGGCCTTTGGTGGAAGTAAGGGCATCTCAGCAAGCATGCGTGTAAACTACTATCCAAAGTGCCCAGAGCCTGAGCTGACCCTTGGCCTCTCCTCTCACTCTGATCCTGGCGGTATCACCTTGCTCCTTGTTGATGAAAATGTCAAGGGGACGCAGGTACGCAAGGGGAACACATGGGTCACGGTGCAGCCGATCCCGGGTGCCTTTGTTGTAAACGTTGGAGATCAAATTCAGGTTATATTAACCCTATATTATATCCCTGTTATTATCTTTATATTTTTATACATATACTAGAGGGAAAATTGTTGTTTTTGCGTGAAGTAGTAGCTTTATTATCTTTACATCAAGAGTATATATAGCGGTAGTATGTAAGAGTTGAACACAGCATGGAGCTGACGTGCGCATCAGGCTGATGGACCGTGAAATAATCAAAAGAAACTGAATAGTGTAACCCATAGTACTGCATATGCTTTGCAAACATTCAAATGCATGCGTACACAGTTACATAAGCATGTATGCCGCATGCACTACTAAATTTTTGTATATATATATACATACTAGCTAGTACTCGATCGATGCAATATACTTATATGGTGGATGATGCATGATGCATGCATGGATATGGAACAGATCTTGAGCAACGGCGCGTACAAGAGCGTGGAGCACCGCGCGCTGGCTAGCTCCGGCGACGACCGCCTCACCATCGCCTTCTTCTGCAACCCTTGCGGCGACCTCCCCATCGCGCCGGCGGCTCAGCTGGTGGGCCCCGAGTCGCCGGCGGTGTACGGTCAGCCGGCCATCACCTTCAACGAGTACCGCAAGTACGTGCCCGAGGCAGGGCGCAGGTGGAGTCCCTCTCTAGCTGCAACACCAGCATCACCCATGAAGTAACCTAGCTGCACGCGAGCAAGAGAGATGGGAATAAAGTGCATGCAGCTAGTTGACCTATAGCAACTATCTTCTGTATCTTATTATTAAGTATGTTTGCCCATGTATGCATATGCTTGCAGCTAGCGTGTTTGCATTGTGATGCCAGAATAACACCAGCTACTCAGCTAGTCAGCTTGCCTGTAGTGCTGAAACTGCAGATAGTCATGTGTTAATATAAGTTGTGACTAGCTAGAAATCATCGATTGGTTTGTACGAATTTCAGTCGTGTGTGTTTGATTGCAGTAACCATGTATGTACAAGCATGCATTTCTATTCAATAACAAGTCCTCAGCTCCTGTGTAGTTTGGAACTATATTTTAGTTTGGATTTCAATTGTCTGTAACTCATCACATGATGATATGTAGCTCACGAAACGTGATAGAACGGGCTATATAGGACCTGAAAATGGCTAGAAAAATGCATGTTCTATATGAACCACCAGAGCATCAGATGTCCTGGAACTACATGAGGCTGCATAGTGCCTAGCAAGTGAAGCTGGACGAGCCAACACGGCTAGGAGGGTGTAGAAATGGCCGAATGGGAACACCAGAAGTCTGTGGACCCATTTAAGGACCGAGGCATATAGAAAACTAAAAAGAAACACGTCATCAGGAACCCAAAACACTACGTCAGTAGGTATTTGTAAGGGCGGCTCATGTGTATTTATAGCCGTGGTTTTGTCAGCCGCCTCTAAGCAACCACGGCTACAAATGCCCAATTCGTAGGGGCGGTTGGCCAGGCGGCTGATGATTTATAGGGGTGGCTGGATATAAATCCGTCCCTACAAATCAATTTTCAGAAATCACGAAAAATTGCAAGAAAATAGCAAATTTTTTTTAATCTAGGGAGGCCCCCACTAGTCAGCCACACACACCCGCTCCTTAGCCATGGCCAGGATTCGAACCCACGATGTCCCCCTCGCTCGTGTGCCAAAAACCAAGATTCCTTTGTAGGAAGAGTGGCACCTATAGTTCATGAAGGCCTTTTGAGGACAATACCTGGAAGCTCTTCACCTCCTGGTCGGGAAGTTTGCAAATCTGGCACACCAACCACAGGACGTCCTGGTTATGCTTCTCTAGCACAAGTTAATACCTCCCAAACCCATGGAGTTTCTGCTCCAGGCGTCACTCCTAAGGGCTATGAATCTGCTGTACCAAGCTTGTCATTTGGAAATTCCAAAAGTACAGGTGTGAAACAACTCAATTCTGCACCAAGAATGACACCTGAAGGCCAGAAATTCCTTTCACTTGGTATTGCGTCACGAAGCCCATCACCTCGTGATTTAATAAAATGCCATGGTTGCCATACCTCCAGTTCTTGCACCAGGTAAGCCTCTGTGCAATACGATTGTTGCCTACCATGTATGGATCATTAAGGTTGTCATTTATGTGCAGGCCATGGAAAATCACCATCCATGAAGATCGAGGGCCATGATTCTATGGCGCCGAGTGTCAAGCCAAGTCTAGCACCAAGTAAAGCGCCAAAGTTGCATGAACCTGTGATAGCTGATACGAGCATCGAGGGCTGTGATTCTCTAGCACTGAGTATCACACCAAATGGCCATGATGGTCCAGCATCAAGTAATAAAACTCCAAAGCGCCATGAATCTGCGATAGTTAATACAATGCCAGAAAGTAGTCGCTCTCAAGGCGAGGGTGTCGCCACTAAGACCTATGATGCTCCTAAACCAAGTACGGTGCCTGAAAACTCTTAGTCTGGAATATGAAACTGATTAGCAGTAGTGCTTCATTTCGTTGCTTCGACTACTAATGCTAATGCCTGGTGTGTGGTGGCTGCAGGAACTGGGGAGCCAAAGAAACAACAGGCTGCGTAACTGGCTCGCAGGGTAAATTATCTGTTCCAGGCCTTGATGCTAGCAGCCATGTTACTGGGGCAGCGAGCGCCCTTGTCGCCCTATCAACTCTGCGAGAGAAGGGCGGGCGTTAGAGCAGCAGCAGTGTTTAAAACTGCGTGGTTCCCGTTGGATCGGACCCTTGTTCTGTACATGCATGTGATGATTGCCGGCCGGTTCCATGTACGCGTGTGGTTGTAGCAGTGGTGTAAGCCGGTGGGAATGTATGGATCGGTCACTAAGCAGAGAAACGATCTTTGATTCAGCTTGAAATTTGGCTTTAGTCTTGGTAGTTTTCATGCCCGGGGCTAGAGAGACCTTTAGTTCCGGTTTATAGTTCCACTCGGGACTAAAGGTCCCTATCCAATGGCTACTGCAGCAGGCTTTTGCTGTAGGGGACCTTTAGTCCTGGTTGAAGCTACCAACCGAGACTAAAGGTTAATTTTTACTTCCGGTTAGTCCCTCCAACCGGGAGTAAAAGTCTACTCCCGGCTGGAGGCTTCGTCCGGGACTAGAAATGGACCTTTAGTCCCGGTATCTGCATCCAACCGGGACTAAAGGTCCCCTCCTATATAGGCCTTCTTCCTTCCCGAGCCTGAGCCATTTCGAGCTCAGTGTTCTTACTTCATCGCCGGCCTCTCTTCTTCGTCATCGCCGGTAATCATAAGATTTCTTCGATTCCTCCATCGATTCTCCGGTTCTAAAGGTTACCAACTTTATACTCTCGTGTTTCATCAGTAGCATATCTCATTTTGTGGACTAGATATATGTGGTTTTTTATGGTGGATTTTTTTTATTTGTAAGCCATTTAAGCACAAAATCACTTTAAAGTTTGCATATTTGGATGAAGGAAGGTTAAAGTAGTTATTCAAAACTAGTATTCAACTTTCATTTCTAGCATGCATAGCACACTTCATGGTTTAGAGATATAGAGAATTTTAGAGTTTTTTTAATTTTATTTGTTTATAAAATAAGAAATTTATATTATATTAAAAATGAGTATAGAGAGTAGATGTCAACTGCTTCCGTGTCCTCGGCCTCTCATCGGGTTCCAAAGCGACTGAGGCCGGACCTCCCTCTCATTGCATGCGGCAAGTGTGAGGAGAAGATTGTGATGGAGTACCGGGTGAGGAAGGAGTGTCCCAACAAGGGCCGTATCTTTTACAAGTGTCCGGATCGTAATGTGAGTTATTTTGTCACATTTGATGATTATGGTTAATATATACTTATTTTCATGATGATTGTGATTAAAGTTCTAATTTTTTATTTAATTTCAGTGGGATGGCACTGGATGTTCAGGCTAGTACTGGGAGGAAGAGTATGTTGAACACGTGCAAAACTCTCTTGCACAGGCGGCTACGGCGGCTGATGAGGCAGTGATCCTGCGGAAGAAGCCCATAGATGTTAAACAAACGCATGATCTGTCTATTTTAGTTGGGATTGGTCGCGAAATCCTTATGCTGCTGAAGTGCATTTTAGCTTTAGTTTTTTAGTGGTAGTTGGGATTGTCTACATTGTAGCGAGACTTTCATAAATTAATACCTTGTGTGGTGGTATGCATATCGTATAATTAACTAATTATGTTCTAGGTTTTAATATGGTATGTATATCATGTAATGCAGATGAGCCGGCATTAGATGTACAATGCTGATCGCCGCTCCCAAGAGTTCATTGAGGGCGTGCATTCTTTCTTACGTGTGGCCGAGGCAAACAAACGCGATGGTTTCATGTGCTGCCCATGTGCCATATATAAGAATTTGAAGGAATATGCTAGCTCAAGGAGCCTTCATTCACACTTGTTGAAGTCGGGTTTCATGCCAAACTATATTTGTTGGACGAAGCACGGAGAAACCAGGGTTGTAATGGAAAAAGGTAAAGAAGAACAATGTGACGATGATGACATTATTGCTGAATATGGTGCCTTCAATGATACTGCAATGGGGGAAGCTGAAGAAGAGGTAGTGGCAGAAGATGAACCCGCTGATGATCTTGGTCAGGCCATTCGTGACGCACAAAAAGAATGCGAAAGTGAAAAGGAGAAGATCAAGTTCGAGCGCATGCTAGAGGATCACAAGAAATTGCTATACCCAACTTGTGATGCGGGACAGAAAAAGTTGAGGTATCACACTGGAATTGCTGCAATAGAAGGCAAAGAATGGTGTATCTGACAAGGGATTTGGGGAGTTATTGAAAATCCAAAAGAAGATGCTTCCGAAGGATAACGAATTGCCCGTCACTACGTACGAAGCAAAACAGGTAGTCTGCCCTTTGGGATTAGAAATCCAGAAGATACATGCATGTCCTAATGACTGCATCCTCTACCGTGGCGAGGAGTACGAGAAGTTAGATGCATGCCCGGTATGTCATGCATCGCGGTATAAGATCAGGCGAGATGACCCTGGTGATGTTGAGGGCGAACGTCCCACGAAGAAAATCCCTGCCAAGATTATGTGGTATGCTCCTATAATACCACGCTTGAAATGTCTGTTCAGAAACAAAGACCATGCAAAGTTATTGCAATGGCACAAAGAAGACCGTAAGGTAGACAATATGTTGAGACACCCTGCTGATGGGTCCCAGTGGAGAGCAATCGATAGAGAATTCCTAGAGTTTGCAAATGACGCAAGAAACTTAAGGTTTGCTTTAAGTACGGATGGTATGAATCCTTTTAGGGAGCAGAGCAGTAGTCATAGCACTTGGCCTGTTACTCTATGTATCTACAACCTTCCTCCCTGGTTATGCATGAAGCGTAAGTTTATTATGATGCCAGTGCTCATCCAAGGCCCAAGGCAACCTGACAGCGACATCGATGTGTACCTGAGGCCACTAGTTGAACTTCTACTTTTGTGGAACAGACCAGGTGTACGTGTGTGGGATAAGCACAAACAGGAGCACTTTGACCTGCGAGCATTGTTGTTCGTAACAATCAATGATTGGCCCGCTCTAAGTAATCTTTCAGGACAATCAAACAAGGGATATAATGCATGCACGCACTGTTTTGATGACATTAAAGGTATATTCTTGAAAAAATATTGAAAGGTCGTGTACCTTGGCCATCGTCGATTTCTTCCTGCGAATCACCCCCTAAGAAAGAAAGGCAAGCATTTTAAAGGTAAGGCATACCACCAGACCAAGCCAGACAACCGAACTGGTGAGGATGTACTCAATATGGTCAAGGATGTGAAAGTAGTATTTGGAAAGACACATGGCAGCAAACCTGTTCCGAACGATGCCAACGGTCACACACCCATGTGAAAGAAGAAGTCCATATTTTGGGAGCTACCCTATTGGCAAGTCCTAGAGGTCCGTAGCGCGATCGACGTGATGCACCTGATGAAAAATCTTTATGTGAACCTGCTAGGCTTCACGGGTGTATATGGGAAGCCTAAGGACACACTTGAAGCACGACGGGACCTGCGATGTTTGAAAGAACGAGACAACCTACATCCAGAGAAGACAGATGATGGACGCCATTACTTAAGTCCTGCCAGCTACACTCTTAGCAAAGAAGAGAAGGAAAGCATGTCTGAATGCCTAGCAAGCATCAAGGTACCATCTGAATTTTCCTCAAATATAAAGGGTATAATAAATGTGCCAGAGAAGAAATTCCTAAACTTAAAGTCCCATGACTGCCACGTGCTCATAACGCAATTGCTTCCAGTTGCATTAAGAGAAATTCTACCTCCAAATGTACGTCTAGTCACCGTGAAGCTATGTGCATTCCTCAATGCAATTTCTCAGAAGGCAATCGATCCAATGGATCTAGCTAAACTACAGAATGATGTGGTTCAATGTCTTATCAGCTTTGAGTTGGTGTTCCCTCCTTCCTTCTTTAATATCATGACACACCTCCTAGTTCATCTGGTCAAGGAGATTAGCATTCTCGGTCCTATGTTCCTGCACAACATGTTCCCCTTTGAGAGGTTCATGGGAGTCATAAAGAAATATGTTCACAACCGTGCTCGACCAGAAGGAAGCATCGCCAAGGGCTATGGAACAAAGGAGGTCATTGAGTTTTGTGTTGACTTTATTCTCGACCTTGACTCGATTGGTGTTCCTGAATCACGACACGAGGGGAGACTAAGTGGAAAAGGGACACTAGGGAAGAAAATATATATTGGTACGTAGGACAATTATTTTAATAAAGCACACTACACAGTTCTACCAAACTCCTTCTTGGTGGATCCGTATATCGAGACACATAAAGAGTTGCTCCGATCCGAGTTTCCAGGGAAGTCTGAAGCTTGGATTACGCGTCAGCACATGGAAATTTTCAGCGACTAGTTACGAAAAGAATGTCAGGGTGATGAGAGTATTGATGAGCAACTGTATTTGTTGGCTAGGCAGCCATCGTGGCATATCCTCACATACAAAGGGTACGAGATAAATGAGAATACATTTTACACAGTAGCCCAAGATAAAAGGATCACCAACCAAAACAGTGGTGTCCGCATAGATGCCACTGACCCTAATGGAAATAAGCAAACATATTATGGCCGCATAGAGGAGATATGGGAACTAAACTATGCACCTACTTTTAAGGTACCTTTGTTCAAGTGCCAATGGGTAAAGGCGACTGGAGGCAGGGTAGCAGTCGACAACTAGTATGGAAATACAACCGTGGACCAAAGGTGGGCTATGTTTTCGTGGCCCGCCAAAAAAATAACTTTAGTCCCGGGTCATGGCTGCACCTGGGACTAAAGGTCAGACCTTTAGTCCAGGTTCTTACCATCACCCGGGACTAAAGGTTCTTTAGTCCTAGGCCGTGGCTTCACTTTACCATCACCTGGGACTAAAGGTTCTTTAGTCCCGGGCCGTGGCTTCACCCTGGACTAAAGATCCGCCAAATATATATCACCTCATCTTCTTCTCCCCATCCATCGTCTTCATTCTTTGCCTGAGAGCCACCGCGCCGCCGCCGCTCCCCATAGCCTCCAGCCGCCTCCACGCGCCTCTCCCGCCTCTCGCCATCTCCGCCAGTG